CAGCTTCTCCATCGTCCTCATCTTTGTGGCCACCTTTGTGGCATACCTACCTGTCTACAGGATGCATGACTGGGCATGCTGAGAAGCAGAGAGGCTTGTGAAATACTGAGAGGCCAACAGCATGCCCCCACAGAATCCAACTGCTTCGACCCCAGAAAGATCCAGCTGCCCCACGGTCTCTGACCAGGTGGACCTCAAGGACAGCCACCTTTCCCACCCCTGCCTGTCATCTGCCCACTCCTCAGGGCATTAAAGGGACTAGAAAGTTAAAAAAAAAAAAAAAAAAAAAAAAAAAAGAGGGGCTGGGGAGATGGCTCAGTAGAATAGGCACTTTCCTGGCAAGCACAAGGATCCGAGTTCAGTCCCCGGTTCCACAAAAAAAAAGTTAGGATTACTTGAACACAAGTACTTTAATATCTCTATAATCGATCCAATAACCAAGACTGCTGCTAGGTGACTGTTACATATATGTTTGGATACTCTGGACAATGAATGGGTGATTTATATCCCCAACAGGATGTAGCAGCATGTCATGAGATTGCATCATGCTGCTGAAATGGCATGCACTTTTAACCTCATGAATTGTTTATCTCTGATTTTTTATTTGATCTTTTGGGGAGACATTTAAGTGCAGATAACTGCAAAAGTGAAACCATGGAGGAGGACTACAGCATCATGAATTTCTGGGTTTTTGAACTTTTTATATTTTATATTTGTAAGTTATGTCTTAGTTACCTTCTCATTACAGGGACAAAATACCTGACACCAATGAGTTAAAGGAGAAAAGGTTTATATAAGCTTACAGTTTGTAGAGCTTTCAGTCCCTAATCTCCTGGCTTCCAAGCAGGGCAGCATGGCTGCGGAGATACAGAGCAGGCAGCAAGCAGCAAGCTGTAAGCCTTCCTTTCTCTTGTTATTCCACAAGTCTATTGGTTAGTGCCACCGCTACCCAGAACAGACCTTCCTACCATTCATGCCCAGAACTATGCTAAACCTCAGTGGACTAATCCCGTTATCACACCCATAATCTAGTATCACACAGCTATGATCCAGCCATCTGGATCATAATTATTTATCTATTTATTATGTATTTATTCATTATCTACTTCTCTCTTCCTTATAAGATCTGTAGGATAAAGGACTGTATCTGTTCTGTTTTGCCTACTGTTCCCATAGATCTCTGAACACAGCTGCAGCTAAGAGGCAAACAAAGAAAATGAAAACTTCTAAAAAGCTCACTGCTTAGCAGATGAGTGGTTTTGAAACATTAATGTGCACACAGATCACCCAGAAGTATTGTTAAAATGCAGGGTCTGATTTGGTACTTCTAAAGCAGGGTGAGATTCTGCATTTATTTTTTAAACAAGCATGTGGTACTGCTTGTCCAAAGACCACACCATGACTAGGAGGAGCTTAGACCACAATTCATTATGACTGCCTTCAATGATTTAGCCTGACCTTTTAAATACATGCAGTGGCTGGGATTAGATCCCCAGCTGAGACAGCAATTGAGAGTGGGCATGGTGGTGCACACTTGTAATCCCAGCTCTTGGGAGGCTGAAAACAGGAGGATCACTACAAGTCTGACCCATGTAGTGAGACCCTGTAGACTTTGAAGACCCTGTCCTAAATATATAAAAATAAATAAATAAACTAAAGAGGCAATAAACTAAGGAGTTTCAATCAAGGATTACTGACTCCTAAGAAATTTGTAATTTTTCCTTTTTGACAAGGAAAACACAGGCACTGAGCCTATATCCTTTTTTTATCCAAGAAGACTTGAAAGCCAGATTTTAGGCAGAAATATAACAACTTCATTAACTAAAGACTAATGTAATCATGCTTTATAATCTTTTCCAGGATTTTGCTTTCATTTCTAATTTATATTTTACCTTGGGCAGACTGCTCCTATATTAATAACATTGTACAAATAAATACTCATAGAAATGGAGCTAGAATTTTTGCAATTGGCAAGTCTTAGTATGCAGATTATAAAAAGAAAGCATGCCTGAACAGAGGTAAAAATATTGAGAGAACTAAGCTGATAGGAACATGTGCCTGAAGACTGACCTGATCAGTTAAGACACAGCCAAATGCTTGCAATGACATGGGCAATGTCATCACGTTTTGTCTCTGTAACACACCAGCAATGGGACATAAAGCCACAGGGCGAGGTACTGATGCCAGAGAACTACTGACTGTAACATACGCGACACTTCATCCCTCTGCTTGCTTCTCCTCTGAGATGGTAAACTCAAGTGCATCTCTCCTGTCCTGCCCATCTTAGTTCTTAGTCTTTCCTAGCCCTCCTGTTACCCTGCAAATATTTAAAACATTCTAAGATATATTAATAAAAGAAACTGTTCATAACCTAGAAAAATCAATGTGTTGCTCATCTATCATCCTTGTAGGCATAAATCTATAGTTTCTCAGCTGTCCACATGTATAAGGGTTTCTTTTCCAAATCAATGTTTTTTTGTTTTTGTTTTGTGGAACCAGGGATTGAACTCAGGCCCTTTCACTTGACAGGCAAGTGCTTATTCTACTGAGCTATCTCCCCAACCCCTAAAATCAATGTATTTTAAAGGGTTCCAATATTACTTTTCTTGTCAGTGTGGCATAATGCTCTCATCTGTTTCTTTACAGTGGTAGGCCTTTTCTAGGCCAATTATGATTAAATATTAAAGGAATCCTTGATCAATCATAAAATAGTTTCTGATCAAGTATTAGATAAACTGTTGCTATTTCTTTCCCTTTTATTACTACGTTTGCAGTACATGATTATTGTGCTTGAAGAGTACAACTGTAAAAGACATTTCCTTTTTTGTTTTTTAAAGAGAACATCATTTTATTAATCATTTATTTATTTACTTATTTATTTGGTACAGGGTCTCGCTAGGCAGAGCTAGGACTCATAGTGATCCTCCTGTCTCAGCCTCCCCAGCACCACCACACCTGAATTCAGTGGCCCACCCGGCTTGCTCAGGGCAGGGCCTGCAGTGCATGGCATGCAGTACTGGGGATTGAACCTGGATCCTTGTGCTTGCCAGGCAGGTGCTTAGATCACTGAGCTAGTTCCCCAGACCCCTTCTGAAAGATGAAATCATAAGTAACTCATGTAGTTTCTCTTTGATACACATTTTTGAATGGGCTAGGAGCTTATGAAATAAAATGCAAACTGTATAAACTGAAAAACTTATGATTCATCTCAAACTAGAAAACTGAAGCTAAAAATTTTACTAATTTATGTCTGATATGTTAATTCATTTATGCTTCTTCTGCCTGTGTTAGGCAAAAACACACATACACACCTCCCCTGATCCAAGGAGCCAATAATAAGTATATTAGCAGAGAGAGACTTAAATTAGTCTTTTTTTTTTTTTTTTTATATTTGGTACAGGGTCTCACTATGCAGCTTGAACTCCTAGTGATCCTCCTGTCTCAGCCTACCCAGCACTGGGATTACAGGAGAGCTCCCCTACCCAATATCTGTGTTGCTGGCTCAGCATGCCTGGGGGTGGGGCCAGCACGGCCTGTGGTGTCAGGGATTGAGCCCAGGTCCCTGTGCTTGCCTAAGCAGGCAGTCTGCTGTGCTATCTTGCCGGCTCTGAATTTAGTCTTAACAATGACACAAACATACTGAGATATTCCACCTAGTAAAGAAAGATAAGCATAACTGATTGATACAATCAGAGAATGACTATGGAAGGGAAGCATTTTAGATGGGTCATAAATCGGCCTGTTTCAAACACTATGGTGACAGTCATATACAACATTTAATTTGATAAAACCAGCAATTAGGTGGACATCTCCGTGTGTCATTTCTAGTGTCGAGAAGCCTCAACTAGAGGCCAGGGAGATGGCTCAGTAGAATAAGTGCTTCCCTGGCAAGCACAAGGGCCTGAATTCAATCCCCGGTTCTGCAAAAAAACAACAACAAAGAAACCTCAGCTGCACAGCACAAGATCACACACGGTCTTTTCTACTTTGATGTACCTTTCTTGCACTGTTACGCCTGACCTTTCAAATAACAAAGTTTGGATTATCATGTTACAGTTTACAATGTTCTACTTGCCAAATTCTGGATTCAATTTATATTTTTCTAATTTGCCAAATTTTGAATTTAGAAAAATCAAATTAATAAAAATAAATCTCACATCTCTCATTTTAAAAAAATTGGCAGTAGGTATACTTCCAAACTTTTAGTGAACATCATTTAAAATTATAATAATACTTTAACACTTTCAGCAAGAAACTCCCCTAAGCATATTCTAAATGTGTCTTTACTTGGTCACAATAGCTCTATTAGAGAGGCATCATTACCATTTTTTTCAAGGTAATTTTTTTGTTTTCCACTGTTCCGCTTTTGATCTTTTTTTTTTTCCTTATGTTTTGTTTTGTTGAGGCAGGGTCTTATTTTGCAGTGCAGGCTAGCCTGGAACTTGCTTATGTTTCCTAGGCTGTCCTCAAACTCTCCATGATCCTTCTGCCTCAGCCTCCCTAGTGCTGGGGTTACAGGTATGCACATCACGCCAAGCAGGCATTACTGTTGTTGTTGTTGTTGTTGTTACACAACAAAGAAACTGAGAAGAGCATAACAGCAAAACTTTCCAAACATTACTCATCAATAAACAAGGGTTCTGGATACAGTATATGTAGAGTCTAAGTCCTTTATTACTCAACCACAGAGGCAAGATACTAGAGAAACCTTATTGACTGACTCTTGTACTTTAAAAGTCTATTTTCTAAATTTCAAGGACATAGATTATTATTTATACAACGGTGCTCTCTCACATGTCAGATTAAACCGTGGTGATTTATTCTTTGCTTGAAGAAACGTTTGCTAACCTGGCAGTCACGGAACGCTGATCATGTGTTCTAGAAACCACAGGAAACAGTGAAAGGAGCTAGGGCCACGCTGGCCACGACAGGAAGTCCGGTGGCCGGAACGCCAGGCCCGGGCACCGCGCAGGCCAGGAGGAGCCCGGGCGCACTGTGCTGGGAAGTTGCTTCCCGGGGAGGGGACGACAATCACCCGAGGACCAGCCCGGACGCCAGGTGAGGCGGGCGCGCCGTCGGGACCAGCCGTGGGCAGCCGCCATGGGGGCCGTCCAAGCCCTCGGGGGTCCCTCGGAGTTCTTGCTTTTCTCAGGAGAGTCCTTCTCGCTGCATCCAGAGCCCTGCGCGGCTTCGGCCTGCCTGCTCGTCTGACGCCCTCTGGGCTTCCTCCCCGCCGCAGAAGAAAACTCAGGCCCTGGACACAGCGGGCGGAGCAGGCCGCGCCCGCCTGCGGGCTGAGCGCTGGGGCTGGCTGCGCCCGAGCTGCCTTGAGCCTCCGGCCCGCCGCCCTCCTCGGGCCGCCGCCGGCGTCGTCGTGGGGGCGCGGGCCTCGCCCGCAGGCTGGAGCCCCAGGAGGCCCGGCTGGGCTCACCCGTGGCGGGCGCGGTGGCGGGGCCCTGACCACTAAGATCAGTCGCTGCTGCTCGGGACAGAATGTAACCGGCGCTAAATCGCCAGCTCGGCCCCTGGTTTACTGGGCAAGACCATGTACCCTGAAAAAGGACCTGGTCGTAGGAAATTAGAGGAGGGGTCGCTGAAGAGGCATGGAGGTTGTTTAGCTGGCCGGGCCACGGCAACCAAAGGAGTAACAGGGAATGATTGCACATAGAGTAAACTCTCCCCAGCTCTGTGTACTCTGGAATTAAACCCAGGGCTCTAACTACCTTTTTTAACTTTATTTCTTGAGATACGGTCTCTGTAAATTACCCAGATTATCCTCAAATTCTCAATCCCGCCTCAACCTCCCAGAATGTTGATATTGCAGGCTTGTGGCCAACACACAGTCTTCACTTTAGCAGTTAGCTGGTGATTCCTGGAGGTTAATCTGACTCAAAACTACAAGAGAGAGGGCCGGCCAAATAGCTCAGCGGATCAAAGCGCATGTAAACAGGCTCACACCCCCGGGCCTCACATGCCGGCCCCGCCCCCAGGCACACTGAGATGGCAGTTGAGAATACGTGTAGTGTGCCTGTAATCCCAGCTCTTGGGAAGCTGTAGACAGGTGGATCACTAAGAGTCTGATCTAGTAGTAAGACCCTGAGCACCCTCTAGACCCTTCCCTAAAATAATAAGTGCATATCATTGAATTAATTTTATATTTGTTTAGAGAAAATTTGGGTGGTAGTGGGGAAGAATTAATGCATTTGACCTTTGTTAATACTGGATATAGCAAAAAATTTGAGTAAAATGGAGCTCAAGTTAGGTGCTTCATAAGTTAGAGTATAGGAATGTTAGTGTTTTGCGTTATGAGAACTATTGTGATACTTTAGATCTTTCTTATTTACTTAACACTATCCATTTTTCACTAGTTCAATATGGAACAAAGCAGTGAAGGATGTACAAAAATGATGAACAATGTGAATATTGACAAACTTATAAAGGATTTCTTACAGATAGAAAAGGTACGTAAAAATACCAAATGGTTACAATATATTAAAAAAAAGAACAGTTTACTAATGGAAGAAGTTGAGAAGAAAAAAATAATAAAGTAAAAGATAATAAAATATGTATTTTTGACTAATCCCTGCCTTATTTTCAGAGTCTGTATTTAAAATACAACTGAATTTTTACTCCTTTGCACAACATATCAGAATGTTTGTAGGGAAAGGGATCTAACAATTGACGTACTCTTGTCAAAGTTAAAGGGAAAATATGTAAATACCCAGTGTGTATGTAAAATCAGAACTTTTTTTTTTTTTTTTTTGCAGAACTGGGGATTGAACTCAGGTACTTGTGCTTGCCAGGGAAGTGCTTATTGTACTAAGCCATCTCCCCGGCCCCAAGTTTTAATAAAAATTAAAGTAGACTAATCTTCCAATCTCCTGCTATTATGACTTTTGTTTAGTTCCCCCCTCCTAATCCTATCCCCTTTTCTTTTTTGACCAGAAATTTTTCTTTCATTTTATTGTTATTTTTTTATTTTTTAGACAGGGAACAGGGTCTTGCCAATAGTCCAGGCTGGCCTTGGACTCATGATGATCCTCCTGCCTCAACCATGAGTGCTAGGATTACAGGCGTGTGCCACCATGCCTGGTTTACCAGGAACTACTTGACGTCTGTCTTATTGACTTCCTGACTCTGGATACATGATAGACGAAATCTATGAGCGTATAGAACATTGGTCTTTTTCTCCTCTTCTGCCAGAGAGATGAATATATAAATGAATAAATTAAAGACTTGAAGAGTGTGTTAATGGGAGTACGAGAGAAGTAAGAGCTCGGGGTGGCCTATCCTTACTATTTCTATTTCTCCAAATTGCAAGGATTGAAGAATTTTCGGGACAACTTTTGGGGCTAACATCAAGAACTTCTGGTAAACTGATCTTGCATTTTCTTTAGGGATTTTCTTAAGCTAAAGAAATACAATCCATAAACAAGTACAAGGTTTTATGGGGATTCATTTGAAAATATGGATCATGTTCTTAAAAACCTTTTTTTGTGAGGCAGTTTCACTGTATAATTCAGGCTAGCCTCAAACTCATGGGAATCTGCTAATTGCTCATTTTTTTATAATAGCCTTCTGATCACACTTTGAATCTTTTATATTAGAGATGCATATAGGTGGTAATACTTAAAAGATGAAATAATATGTCAGTTGCTTTAAGGTAAAACCAGAGGTAATAAGATTGCAGAAATGGACAGCTGTATAGATGGTACAAGAGTGCCATGAATTGATAATTTTTGAAGCTACTTGAAGAGTACCTGCAGTTATTATATTGAGATATGTTGAATATTCCTAGTCTGTGACAGCAAAAATGTTATAAACAAAACAAACTGTTCTCTCCAATAAGAAACTGGTTAAATTAATTATATTCAAAATTTAAACTTGATGCTACTGTTAGAAAGAGTGGTGTAGGTATATACATGGCTTATATGATATTATCTTCCAGCTGATAGTGCTAAATGGAAGAGGTGAAGTGTAGGATAGAATATGATCCTTTTCCATAATCATGTAGCCAAAAAGTATTTTAGGAACATACATAAGGAATATTGTTATTGTGATTTTTTTTTTTTTTTTTTTTTTTTTTTTTTTTGTGGAACTGGGGATTGAACTCAGGCCCTTGCACTTGTCAGGCAAGCACTTATTCAATTGAACTGTCTCTCCGGCCCTGTTTTTGGTTTTTTTGGTTTGTGTGTGTGTGGGGGGGGGTGTTTTGTTTTCTGAGACAAGGTCTTACTATATTGCCAAAGGGGGTGTGCTAAGAATTACTGGGCTCATGAGATTATCCTGCCTCAGCCACCTGAGTAGCTAGGACTACAGGGATGTACCACACATCTAGCTAAGAATCAGTAATCATGAGAGTAAAGGCTGAATTGTTGGAAGAAAGTGATGTCTGTTAGCTTGTTAGATCTTGTTTTTGCTTCGTATTTATAATTGTCATTTTGTTTAAATATTTAACCATGTCTTTTCAGTGCTGGGAAATAGATTCAAGACTTCATGCATGCTAGGCAAGCTCTCTAACTCTGACCCATATTCCCAGCCTACTATGTTTCTTTAAAATCAAAAGTAAATAAGAAATTTTATTTACAATTACTTTCTAGATGTAATTGTTAGATTTTCATGTGTTAAGTGATTTCATATTCTCACTAGACTTTCTATCCTCAGTAAAATAATCAAAAAAGCAGCACAGAATTGGTGATAATATATATTTTATTGCACAGAAAATTATAGAAACCAGTGGAAAGAACAGCATACTAGAGCTTCAGTTGGAAAAGACAACCTGTTTATTAAAAGTAATCCAGACAAAGGAAGTCTCATTTAAAAAAGGTTAGTTCTTTGTTGCCTGAAGAAATATTAATTCTAGTGAGAGTAATTTTTAGCACATTAATACTGTATTATGCATTTGTAAAATGTTTTAAATTTACATAGAATTTTTCAGTCGATCATCTTGTTTTATCCTCAGTGTTACTGTAAAAGAATAAGATTGGTATTTTTACCCAACTTTTGGAAGGGAAACAGAATAAAAGAAGATAACTAATCTGTCAGAGGCAACCAGATAAGAAATAGCAAATTTTAATACATAAACTGATACAGTGATAGAGGGAAAAAATTGAATTTCTACATCACATTTTATACTAAAATAAAAATAACGTGAATTGATAATTGCAGGACTAAAATCAAAATTTTACATGTATATTTCTTACTAGGACAACTAAAGGGTGTAGAAGTTGCAATACCCCAGTATGAGTGAAGACACTTAGTACCCCATTCTTGGTATCTAATTTAATAATCTAATAAAAAGAACTGGCTAATTCTAGAACTGGAACAGGGGATAAATAATATAAACTTGAAGTGTTGTGTCGTGCTGAAAAGTAAGGAAGTGCCCCCAAAGAAAACAAAATCCCATAATAATGACAGTATGTCAAAAGGGAGAAGGAACTAAAAAACCTTCCACTACGCAAAGCTAAAGTGCTTTGGGCATTCCTTTTACTTGTATTATATCTTTCTATTTGTATTTCTTCTTTGGAGTTCTTATACTAGGGAGACTATATGATATTTACACATGTGTGTCTGGTTTATTTCACTTATGAGTATATGTTCAAGTGGCATCCACTTTAATATAAAGGCTTGCAGTTTATCATTCTTAATAGCTGAATAATACTCCATTGTGTAAAAATACCACATCTTTCTCAACCATTCCTCAGGTGATGGGCATCTTGGTTGTTTCCAAGATTTGGCTATCACAAATTGTGCTGCTATAAACATAGGCACACATATATCCCTATGATATGATGTTTTCAAATCCTCTGGGAAAATTCCCAGTAGAGGAATAGCTGGTTTAAAGGGGATTTCCAGACCAATTTTTCTAAGGAGTCTCCATACTGATTAACATAACAGTTGCACCAGTCTACACTCCCACCAGCAGTGGAGAAGGGTTCCTTTTTCCCCACAGCCTCTCCAACATTTGTTGTTGGGTGATTTCTTTATGATAGCCATTCAAGAGTCACATGGGGAGATAACACTCTCTCAGGCTTTCACAGAGAGCACATTGGCCAAGCAATGGCCTGACTCATCCACATGGCTGACACTGACAAAGGTTCTACAATCAATCTGAGGTACAGGATCTCAGGATAAATCCTGAGGGGATTTCACTGATCTTCTCAGACCAAAAAGCTACAACTCTTGTTGCATAGGTCCTGCTTTACCTTGGTCTTAACCATCCAGTAGAAAAGTATGAAGACTAAATATAGGAAGTAAAGCCATGTTGTTATGTTGAGCTGTGGGGGACTCAGGTCAATAATTTCTGACATTGCCAGTTAAACAGAAGACCCAATGCTATTATGGGCTTCTGGACTCTTTTAGAATATTTTGCTGAGTTTACACACCCATAATATTCAATAACGGAACTTAGAAAAAATGGGCTATACCAATGAATGTCCATTTTGTATCTGTGTATTCAAAGTGGTTAAGATAGATATATAGTTGCATTCTCTTAATGAATAGAATGATTTATTCTAATGGTTTTTGTAAATAGGATCTCAAGTCCGCATCTTGTACAGCAGTTAACCACTAAGAAGAATATATGCAGTGTGTTATTTGTTGAAACTGTACTTCAGATTTGATTTGAAACTGTCTCATTGCTATCTGTTTATCAATAAAATTTTGAAAAAAATAAAAAAATAAAAAATAAAGTGCTTTGGGCAACAAAAAGTAGTGCTGGGCCAGTTAGATAGTTCAGTGGACTAAAATGCCTGCTTGGGAAGACACAAGGACCGGGATTTAATCCCCAGTCTGCTGGGCTTGCCCCACCCTGAGGTGCACTGAAGACAGCAGACTGAGACTGGGTGTGTTGGACATGCCTATAATCCCAGTGCCTGGGAGACTAAAAACAGGAGAATCACTTCAAGTCTGATCTGTGTAGTGAGACCCTGTAGACCTTGTACTAAATACATTAAAAAAAAAAAATGTAGTGCTGTATTATAACCCAGAGTAGAAAATAGCCACAAATCCATTCTCATATGTATATATAAATGAATTAATAAATAGGGGATAAAGGACAAAGGGTAAGCCTGGGGACAGTAACTACACAGTTGGGAAAACAGAGTACTACCTCAGCTACATAGTCAAGATTGACATCAGGCCAGGGAGATAGCTCAGTGGCGTAAGTGTCTGCCTGGCAAGTACTTCAAGGTTGTGACTTCAATTCTCATTACTGCAAAAACAGAAGATCCACATCAGAAGTACATCATGTTGGTATTTTGTACCTTTAACATAATATGATGAAAATGAAATTTCACCTCTGTGGCCTTTCTTCCCATAACTCACAATACCAGTCTAATCAGAAGATGAACATCACACAGATTTTCTTAGAATGATACTACAAAATACCAGGCCAATACTTGGAAAAATTGTCAGCCATCAAAAACAAGGAAAATAGAATTGTTGCATTCAAAAGAAGCCTAAGGGGGGGGGGGGAAATGTGTGTAGTATGGTATGGTAGCTGAGATCCTAGAACAGAAAAAGGACATTGAAGAGAAAGGAAATCTGAATAAAGTGTAGATTTTAGTTAATATTGTATCAACATTGGTTCATTGTAACAAGTGTATTATACTAATATAAGGTGTTATACTAATAATAAAGATGACTCTGTATGGGATATATGTTAACATTCGTTAATATCTTCTCAATTTTTTTCTACATCAAAAATTGTCCTAAAAAAATGAGTTTTATTAAAAGTCAAAGTGAAACTAAAAAAGAATTTTTTTAACTTTTGTAATTTAAAAGTCCTTTCTAAGTATGTGACACAGCATGTAGAAATGATAAAAAATTTGTTAGCTTGAATTTTTAATTAATAGAATTTTGGAGCATATTTAGACTTATAGAAAAAATAAATGAAAATGCTAAAGATGCCCATATATTTTCTCATCCCTACAGTTTCCCTATTATCAACATCTTGTATTTGTGTGGTACTTTTGTTATAATTCATTGGGCAGTACTGAAGTGAAATCCATAGTTTACCTTAGTGCTTAGTCTTTATATTATACATTCTGTGGGTTTTGATAAGTTTGTATATGTCCACCATCACAGTATCATATCAAATAATAATTCTACTTCTCTAAAACACATATTTATCCTTCCTTCCCTCCAACCCACTGAATCCTGGACAGTCATATTTTCACTGTCTATAGTGTTGCCTTTTCCAGAATATCATATGGTTGCAATCATGTAGTATCTAGCCTTTTCAGATTGACTTCATCCACTTAGCAGTATACATTTAAGGTCCCTCCTATCTTTTTGTAGGTTAATAACAAAATTCTTTTATTGAATTATTATATGGTAGTACCACAATTTCTTTATTCATTCACCTACAAAAATTTTCATTCAACTTTTGGCCATTATGAATAAAGCTGTGGTCACCATATGTGTACAGACTTTCAGGTAGACAAAAGTTTTGACTCATTTGGATAGATAACCAGAAGTGTAATTGTTGCATCATGTAGTAGAGTGATCAACATGGTAATTATATTAGTTTTGAGAAGCAGGTACTATAGAAAATTCTTTAAATACTTTTGTTATTCAGATACTTAATATAACTTAAAAAAAAGATTTACGTGGCTTATAGGTTTTGAGATTTTAGTTCAAAGGTAATTGGCCCCTTTTCATTTTTTGTTCATTGGTTGGTTTTGGCTGGCTTATAATCTTAGTTGTGGGGACTTCATTTTTTATTTGCTTATTTTGTTGTTGTTGTTGTGTTTTCTATTTGAGGCAGTCTTGCTAGGCTGCCTATGCTGGTCTCAAACTCCTGAACTGAAATAGTCTCCCACCCCAGTCTACAGAGTAGCTGGAGTCACACCAGCTGGCCATGGGTGTGCCACTACCCAGCTGGTCCTGTTTCTGTTGAGTCCGCAGGAGCACATCACAGTGGGCGTGCATGGCAAAGGAAGCCTAGTCACCTTATGGCTGGTTGTGAGAGGAGGAAAGAGGCCAGCATCACGCAAGTCCCTCTGCGGGGTGCCCCCACCGACCTCACTTCCTTTCTCTAGAGTCCACCTTTTAGAGGTTCCAAAACCTCCCAGTAGTACCACTGACTGGGGACCAGACTTTAACTATAAGCTCTTAGGGGACATTTTAGGTCCAAACTACATTAGTACTTTAATTGCACTTAATATTCTTCTAACTACTCCATGAAATACAAATTAATATCCAAGTTGCTAGTTAATCTTAGAGCCTAAGTTTGAGCTCAAAATGATCAATTATTTATTAAATTTTATAATAAATAGCTTATTCTGTATCCTTCAAATTACGTAGTAAAATCAAACAGAAAAGACAAGGTAGATTAAGATTTGCAAAGAATATTAAAAGTCTTGATTTTATCTACTGAATGGTATTGGAGCTTATGAAGAATTTCTCTGAGCCAATGCTCCCTGTAGAAAAACATGTGTTAAGAGAGCCACCTTGTGTTCAAATTATAGAAGTATACTTTTTTACTAGTGTGTGCCACAGTCACGTTCCTTTGGTGTGTTGGTACATGCATATAACACATTTTGATCACCTTTAAACCTCATTACCCTGCTCTCCTGTTCCTCCCTCTTGCACTGATTCTGTTCTCCCTTTTCTAAAAATCTATTTTCTGTTTTTCTATCATCTTTCCTTAAGAAAATACACATTTTTGTGACAAATCCAGTATACTTTCAGTTGCAGTTACTTTCAACTTGCAGACTACTGAGGTAACTTCAGCTACCATGTTTCATTCATTGCTAGATTCATTACAGGTGACTTCAGGAAGTATCTTTCCTTAGTTTTTGAACTTTATCAGCTAGCATAAACCAGATGTCGGCTCAGGTCTATCAAGTGCAATTTAATATTCCATTATGAGAAACTGCAAAGTGGAGAGAAGTGGTAAAGGTGTGATCTTTGTCTGGATGGTATCCTTCAAATTACGTAGTAAAATCAAACAGAAAAGACAAGGTAGATTAAGATTTGCAAAGAATATTAAAAGTCTTGGAGACAGTTGGGAGAAGAAAGAGTGAAAGGCCACAGTAGTTGAACCTAGTAATTTCTATCAGCAAAGGTGAAGAAAAAATAGGGAGACTGAGGGAAGAACTTCTAATCAAAAAGTGAATCACAGTATTGATTCTATCATTGAGGCAACAAGATATATATTATTTTCATGCCAGAGCTTTTCCACTTAGCCCTTTCCTGCACAGACTTACAGCAATATTGCTTATCTGTACATCAATCACTCAACAAATATTTCTGGACTGCCTACAGTGGACAAGTGCTTTAAGTACTGTGAAGAAATGGTTGGCAGTATGAAAACTGGTCCTTGCTGTGGTAGAGCCTAAAGCAGGCAGACTCACATGTCACAGAACTTCTCACCCATGTTGCTGCATGTCAGATGCATGGCCATTGCTAACCATGTAATCACATATTAGGGCTTTAGTTTTACAGCAAAGATTCTGTCTCCCTTTAGTAAACCACTAACACCAAAGCTGTTAATGCTAGGTAAAGCTATCATGGAGTTTGAATTAGTCATTTTCAACTTGCTGAAACAAATAGCTAATGTCCACATCTTAAAAGAAGAGATATTTATTGGGTTCAGTTAGTAATGGGCTCAGCCCAGAGTCACCTGGTTCAAAGGCAGAAACAACGTCATGAAAGCTCTGTATAGAGTAGCTGCGCAGCTCCTGGTAGCCAGGAAATAGAAAGAGAAGGGAGGGGGTGGGGATGAGAATACAGCTTCCTGATGATGTCCCTAAGTGACCCACCTCTCTCAAACAGGCTCTGCCTCCCAACAGCACGTTCAGAGTGAACTCATCAGTGGATGTATCCAGTGATTAATATAGCACCCCCATGATCCAGTTAGCTTCCAGACCCCACAGCAGAACACAGGAACTTTTGGAGTGGGGGTATTGTAACAGATATCATTAAGTTTTGAAACTTTTTGATGCCAATGACTTTTCCTGAAATTTGGGTATAAATATTAAGAGGATAAGTTGGAAGACAGAAAAACATCTTATACCTTCTCACCACATCTGGTCCTCTCTTAAATAAAACAATGTAATTTGAGTCACTTTTCTTAGGGTGTTTTTCATGAAAGATTTGCATGGATACACCCCAGGCAGGTCCAGGTGCACCTTACATTCAGGGCAGGTATTGCTAAGGCACATGGGAGGATCTCTACTGTACTGTGCCTTAGAAAACTCGTTCTTAAGTCTTGTAATTCACTTGATTTAAAGAGTGACTAATAAATATTTATTAGCAGGGAACATGAGCACACCTGTAATCCCAACTTCTTGGGGAGCTGAGGCAAGATGATCGAATTTTGAGGCTGTCCTGATTACCTTAGTGAAAATCTGCCCTCAAAATAAATGAATAAGAATTATGGCTGAAGATGTAGTCATGGGTGAAATGTTCGAGTAGCATGTGAGGCCCTGGGCTCAGTCCCCAGTACTATGGAGAAAGGCGTTATATTATTTATTTTGAAATGTTTATGTTAGATATTACTTTTTTAAATATTTCTTTTTTATACCCACATTTAAAATTATTTCAACGGAAAGAATAATTCCAAGTGAAAGCAAATAATTTTCAGATAAATTTATCTTATGTTTTAGAATGTACTGCTCTTCATGATATGCTAAAAGGGCTACAACAGACTATTGAATATCAACACAATTTGAAAGGTAAGATGGAGGAGAAACTTAAAAAGCATCATTTGTTTGAACTTCTGTAATTTTTTTAACTTTTTTGACGATCAGTTCCTGTTAATTGAGGATTATTTAATCAGCTAAAAGCAAGGCTTCTCACTACTTAAAAATACTTTTGAAAGATTATGAAATAAATGCTATCTTGAACACAATTCCATCATATTCTGAAAAGGAAATCATGTTTTACAGTAAATCATAACCTTTTTTATTACTTTTAAATGTTTAGAAGTGTACAGTTATCCCTCGGTATCCACTGAGGAATGTTTCTGTGACCATCACAGATACCAAAAGTTTGTGGAAATTCAGATACTTCATATAAAATACCATAGTATTCACATATAACCTATTTACTACTTCATACTTTAAAATCATCTCTACATTATTTATAATACCTTATACAGTCTAAATGCTATATAAGTAGTTATACTGTGTTACTTAGGGAAAAATGACAAGAATCTAAGCATGTGCAGTGCAGACACAATTTTTTAAATATTATTGATCCATGGTTGAACGCAGGGCAACCCACACACTGTAGCTAACTATTAATTCTCAGGAACATTCTGGGTTTTTATAAACCTAAGTTCAGTTTTGAAAGAATGGCATTTACTAGTTAAATCATGAATATTTATCAGCTAATAGCAAGACTTCTTACTTCTTAAGGATACTTTGCAAACCACAGTGATGATTCACCATTCACTCTTTTGTCATGGACTAGGACTATATTCATGCAAGCGAAGCCAGCATATTCACTTTACCTCATTTTTTGTGTGAGATAACATTATCTCATGTGTCAATGAGCCTGGCATATGCAAAACAGTGGCCAGGTGCCCTGCACTCTTCCTGACCAAGCAGTGTAATGCCAGATTTCCTTCTGTATCAGGTGTTAGACTACATTGCCTTCACATCTTCTAACATACAGTGCACACCAAATAAGCCTTTATCTTAGGCTTCTCTTTTCATCCATACATAAAGCACTTGTGCTAGTGAGGTGAAATACTGATCTTCCATGTCTTCTCTTCAAATTGGCATGTTACTATTTATAATTTTCTAGTTGAGACCTATCTTAAGAAATAATATTAGTTCTTTCCTCCCATTTTCCCCTAAAATAGAGGCTATCTTGCCGCCATCTCAAAGTTGAGGACCCTTTACAACTTTTACCTCTATATGATACACATGTGGATAAGTAAATATGTAAAAGTTCATAGTCTTTCAGGCCTATTATTCCAGGAACTAAATGATACTTAGTTTAATTCCTCCAGTATTTTGTTCTAACAAAATAACTATTATAGATTAAATAGCTCTATTAAAACAACAATGAATGAAATCAGCGTTTTTTGTAAAGGACATCAAATGATGATCGAAAGTCAAGCATACCATCTTTTCACAGATTTGGTAGTGCAAATTTATTTGCTCTTTAGAATCTTGAGATTAAGCTGACAGTTACAAATATATATATATATATATATATATATATATATATATATATATATATATATATATTTTAAATGTATACTTTGATCATTTGATTATAAATATACATTGTGAAATATTCATGTTATGGCTTGTGTCTAGAAGCCTCATGCAGTCAGAGGCAGGTTTTTTCAGAGTTGCCTAAGTCAAGAGTATGTAATGAATTCATGGTACAGTGCTAGGATTAAGGGAACTTAATTAAGGGGACTCAGGGTGGCACATTACTAAATCAGTACACTCCTTGGTTTGGCACTGCCCTAATCCTAGTAGCCTGAATATAAGATAAGGGACAGAAAGAAGTTTGTCTCGCCCCTCTTGCTTGCTTTGCTACTCGGCCTGCCATGAACTGTTTTCTTCTTTATGATGCCTGTCTGCCACACCAGCCTGCCTTGGAGCCAGCCTACAAACTGACGCCTCTGTGAACTGTGAGCTAAATGAATCTTCCCCCCTTTGACTTTGGTTGTCTGGTATTTTGTTTCAGCAATGAGAGAAAAATAATTAAGATAATTCACCATTATTTTTAGTTAACAATCATACATTTCATAGTTATACATGTCCCTTTCAGCAAATTTCAAGTGTGTAATGTAGCAAATTTCAAGTACAAATGCAGTGCCATTAACAATAATTCATATTATTGAACTTCAGATTGTTACACTTATTTCTCAGCTATAACAGGAACTGGCACCTCTTAGCCAAGTACCTCTGCTTACATATAGCCTCTAATACCCACTGGGCCTGACTTCCTTGTTTTTTAAGGCTGAAAATATTTGATTGAATATTTTAATATAACGTAATTATGTTACTTCCTTTGTAATTTTCTAGTTGAGAGGTATCTTAAGAAATACTATTAGTTTTTACTTTCCTCATATTTCTTTTCTCTGATGTGTAGGCCAGCATGCTACCATTTCAAACTGAAGACTGAACAATTGTGATACTTATATGTGAAGTTTAGTTTGCCTATTTAAACAACCCAATAATTTCCTGTCCAGTAGCTATTTTTTCTTCTTAGTAGGAACACAATTGTTTTTCTGAAATTAGCCCTTTTTTTACTTGATCCTCTGCTTAGAAAAAAAAAATTTTCCCCTCTTCCAGAGATGGACTCTGTTCTTGTGATTGTTGTATTACTGCATGTGATGCCTGAAACGGTTTCAGACTTCCTGTTGGCAGCCTGAAGCTCACCCCAACACTGAGGGTAGCAAATGACTTAGTCTAAAATAATCTAGTTTCTTAGTAACTTTGTTACTTGTGAGTCAGTTACCCTTGGTTTTGTGAGTCTTTCTAGTTACAGTGAGAGAAACTAGAGTGCCTTTTATACTCAGCACTCTTTTCAGTAGGAACTTCTAAAAAAGATGACCTATTCAGATACAAGAAAAAGATTGGCATTATTTTTATCTAAAAACATCAAATCAAATAAGACTAGGGAAATTTAACAGATGGAATAATATTCCTTATTCTATAACTAAGTTCACTACGTATCATTCACACACAATTGCTTCTCATGTGGAGAATGGGAGTTCTAAAACTGAGTGGCTGAGTGTTCGTTAGTCCCCTAATCTCAGGTATGGACAAGTGGTATAGTACGTGTAGCTGGAATGTCCTCCCTCCATGTAGAAGAAGGCTCATCCCTTGGTTCACAGCTCAGGTGGTTCCTCTTCTCCAAAATTTCTCCTGACTCCATAATGAACTAAACTTTTCTTCCCCACATTCTCTCAGTCTTTCAGACATACCTCTGGTATAGACATATAGTCATGACATTATGGCTACTTACACTACTTATGTACATCTCTTTCGCCACTAGACTATGACCTCTATACAGAACAAAAAGTTTCTGTTTCTACATTCCTAGTGCAAAGTGCTGGGTGAATGCATGCATAAAAGGAAACTAGAACATTCAATATATTGCCATATTAATTAGAAATGTTATAAATTTGGTTGTTATTCTTATACAGGTGAAAATGAACAACTAAAAAGAAATGCTGATATGATAAATGAAAAGCTAAAATCTCTAGAACAGGTGAGTTTATGTATAATTGTATTCAAGTAGGTCTTTATAGAACATTTGTTTATTCAGATGTTTCATTTTTTGAACCAGGAATCGAACTTAAGACCTCACGCTTGCCAGGTAAACAACATGCCACTAAGCTGTATCCCTGACCCCCATTTGTTTATTGAAAGTATAAAAAAGAGATTGTTCTTATTAATACAATCAATATTTGTATGGGGATATAACATATTTTATATGTTGAAATTATTAATATGTGAAAACTTATTTTAAAAGTGATACAGGGGCTGGAGAGATGGCTCAGTAGGATAAGCGCTTGACTGACAAACACAAGGATCTGAGTTCAATCCCCAGTTCCGCCAAAAAAAAAAAAAAAAAAAAAAAAGTGATACAAATTTTGAGAATCCTAGTCTTTTTTTTTAATTAGGACATGTTTGCCATACATAATGTTTACATTTCTTGTGTGGAGTTGGTAAGTGCAGATAGCATGTCTTGACTGCTTTTATTCATCCCTTTCCTTTCCCTCCACACACATATTAATCCGTTTCCCATTTAGGAAAGACCTCTCTCCCTACTTCCTATTATCTATTATTTTGCTCTTTATTTGACTCTGGATTTCTCATATAAGAGAAATCACATGGTATTTAAGCTTGTGTGTTTGTTTTATGTCACTTAACATTATAGTCTCAAGGTCTGTCCATTTTCCTACAGATGACTCAAATTTATTTTACTTTAAGGCAGAGTAGTACTCCTCTGTGTATAAATGCCATGTTTTCATTATCCATTTACCTACTGATGCACATATAGGCCACTTCTGAGATTTAGCTATTAGGAATCGTGCTATATTGTGGCATGTGTTTAGATGTCCCCCTAGTGCCTCATGCAGTCATAGGTGGGGCTTTTTTAGGTGGCTGGATCTATAGTGTGGGATCCTGAGTTTAATTCATCGTGTGATGCTAGGATTAAGGGTGCCCCCCTAGGTGTGAGTGCCACCCACCCTAAGGCAAGAAGCCTGGATAGAATATAAAGGACAGAAAGAGGGCTGCTATTGTCTCTTGTTGCTGGTAACTTGCTGCTTGCTGCTTTTACTGCCTCCTGCCTTCTGTCTTATGTGCCATAAACTGTATCTGCTCTGCAGTGCGCTCTGCCATGCCTTCCTGCTTTGAAGCCAGCCAACTATGAACTGAAGCCTCTACAAACTATGAGCTAATTAAACCTCCCCTCCTTTAACTTTGGATATCAAGTATTTTGTCTCAGCAATGAGAAAAGTAACTAAAACATGCTGCTATAAGCAAGGTTATGCATGTATTACCATAACATGTTTTAAACAGTAGGTTTCTCTTTAAAAATAGAATATACTAGTATTTCACTTTTCTTCCTGTCTAAAAGAGCCCCAGTTACTTTGTTGCATGTTTTTAATTATACTAACAGTGTTTCTATGCTAATGTATAATCTATTGACTAGCTTTTAAACTTTTTTATTATTATAAAGTAAAAGAATGTGATTTTTTTTAATGATATGGGTAGTCATTTAAGCATCCAAATAAAGGGGACTTCTTCATGGTTCCCAAGTTAATTCTCTCCCAATGGCCACCATACCCTCTGCTGCATTTTCTTCTCTTCTGTAGGAACAGGACAGTAATAACAACGGCAGAACTTATAACACAGTGCGTAAAAATCCAAAAAGCACTTACTAAATGTCAAGTCCCTCTTTCTGTCTTTCTGCTCTTTGGGAGGTTTATTATGCTAACATTTTACTATTTCTCAAGGGCTTATATATCAAAATCTGGCACATCTAAAATCTACAAAACTCAGATTGGATCTGTAACACACTTTATCTTAAAGGATTGTCTCTAAATTCAGTATGATTCTTCATAAAAGGAGCTCCTTAAAGAAATAAGTTAATTGTAGAAACTTGACTGGGACTTGTGAGAAATATTTTGTAGTCATGAAAACAATTCTGGCTATGTGCTTGGAGAATTTAGTTTTTCATTATCAATTTTGAGATAGTTACAGTATCTCTGAGATGTACAACACTCTCCCTCCTTCCTTTATTCTTTCCTGGACCCATCCATACTTTGAGTCTAGAACCTGGATCACATTAAGTGATGAGAAACTATGTTGGACCACAGATACAATATGTAGTTAAGGTGTGTAAGTAACAACATTTCCCTTATTTATTGCATTTTAACTTTTTATGAAATAAAAAGCCAACTAAATAAAAAGATTTACTTACCTGCTTAATTACAAAATTCATCTCTCTTCACAAGCACACTTGCATGTAAGTGAGTTGAAACTCTATTGCCAGTAATTGCTGTCTTCTACTCACCAACCCACACAAGTGCGTGTGACCTCTGATGCAGATTTCATTACACTGTGTGGTGGGCACAGGAGGCAGAGTTATTACTACACAATGAAGCTATAAAAATATCATTAAATCTCACATAATGTCCCAAACCAGTGGGTCAGTCAACGAAGGTCACCTGGGGGAGGAGAGGGGAATTGAAAAGGGGACAAAGGACAGGAGATGCGAGAAATGAGGACAAGTCAAGATTCTGATCAAGTCCCATTTATTTAGGGGAGGTGCTGGGTATATATAGTGGAGGCATAGAGAAATGACGTCAGCAGGTAAAAGGCGCGAGTAACTAGGCAACGGGACTATGACAGGAAGTCCCACCTCCGGGGCATAGCAGGAGACTTAAGGGAAGTAGGCGGGGTGAAGAGGACCATAAACTTAACTCAGCAGGGGAATAGAAACTTAAGATGGCTGACACTATTATAAAATGGATGGGCTGGTGAGATGGCTCAGTGGTCTAAAGCACCTACTTAGAACAAGCTTAGCAAAGCACAGAGACCGCGGTTCAATCCCCAGCACCACATGCCAGCCAGCCCCGCCCCCTGGTGGACTGAGCTGGCCACACACACACACACACACACACACATAAATAAAAATTAAAAAAAAAATAAAATGGATACCAGTTAATGACCTCTGACAACATAATAATGTTAAAAATTTGTGAACTTATGGGTCCACATTAATAATTTTCCAGGGGGGCTGGGGAGATAGCTCAGTGAAATAAGCACTTCCCTGGCAAGCCCAAGGGCCTGAGTTCAATCCCCCGTTCCGCAAAAAAAAAAAAAAAAAAAAAAAAGATAACAGGTTTTTGGGGCTGGTGAGATGGCTCAGTGGTCTAAAGCACCTACTTAGAACAAGCTTAGCAAAGCACAGAGACCGCGGTTCAATCCCCAGCACCACATGCCAGCCAGCCCCGCCCCCTGGTGGACTGAGCTGGCCACACACACACACACACACACACACACACACACACACATAAAAATAATAATAATAATAATAATATAATAATAATAATAATTTTCCAGGCCCATGTAGCCCTAGTGCCATGGGTTGGTCATACCTGCCTTAGAGCTTAACATTAGGTGATGAAGTCAAGTTATAATTGGGGAAAGAAGAAAACTTCACGTCTTTTTCCTGCTAAAGCTTTAAGCTTTAGAATACTGCTTTGTCTGCAATATTATAAGGAATGTTCAAAGAGGTAGAAAATGAAAACACCATGCACCAAGATTCTTAATTTCTTAATCAGCTACTGTCCAATGGAAACTAAAAAGTTACCTTGATCAAATGAGAATGGACTAATAGAAAACCTCCAGGTACAACCAACATTCATGGAGAACCACTCTCTAGAAGAAGCAGTCTCTGTAGGTTCTTAATATTTATGGTACTTGGAGGATTTTTATAATTTAAACATAGCCCTCAAGTTTTATAAAAAGGACACAAGCAAAGACTATCTCTTGAAATTTAATGTATCTATAAAGCAAAGGTGGAAGATAAAAGCAGCCAACTGCAATTTATTTCTTGTGGCCCTTAAGAAAAACAAATAAAGTAAATCCATTAGCCAAGGTTAGTATAGACTCAGTGAGGGAGAAGAACATACTGATATAGTCCAGCACAGCTCAGACATTAGGATAGCCCTTATGTCTAGAGGTAAAAATAAAAAATTAGTGTTACCACCACTTTAATAGTGCCATCTTCAGTCAGGGGGCATAGATAGCGGAGATGGAAAGGTACACAGACCTTTCTCTTAATGGTGTTTCAAACAGGCAGTGATTTAGTTTTAAAAGCCATACTGTTTGGCTTTTCTAACTATCTAGAAACCTGAACACATATAATGAAAATTGGCAGCTTGTGACATTCACCCTTTTACTTAGCTGTTTGCCTTTAATCAGAGCCAAGAAGTTGAATAGGTTTGACCATTCTTATAATAGAGTGGCAGAACAAGTAGCACAAATAGGGATCTGGACTATAGCCTTTGAACTAGGGTAATCTGTAATAATGTGTGTTTGTTTTTAATTATAGATGTATAGGCTAATATAACTTGACTCTTTTTGTTGTCTTGTTTGGTTTTACCTCCTCAGTATCACTGAATATCTGTCAATAGTTATGAACCATTTCTGGGAAAAATATGCACACATAAATTTTGCATAAAATTTCAGTAAGTGAATGGACTCTAAAAAGCCTATTGATTGGGTGTAGGCTAAAAGCTCTGACCTAAATAATTGTATTAGCATTTTCATTCAACAAATGTTCATCAAGATACTAGAGAGGGAGTTAAGGCAGAAGAGAGAGGGAGAGGGAGTGGTGGACGCAGAGACAGTGCATTAGTGAGTCCAACTCTTACAATGTTTAAAGACTTTTCTTGACCTCTTGCCTTTATTATTTTTTCTACCATCCTAGTTAGCTTTTATTGTTTCTGTACTCCCTTTCTCTTTTCTGCATCTTAGGCCTAAAGCTAACTTCTTCTAACGTCTTTATGTACAACAGTAACCCTGACAAGTTGTAAAATTTATCTTTGAGGGATTTCTTTCCCATTACTACACTGAATGTTCTTTTTCCTCTTAGCATAATAGATCATCCTCATGCATCAGTAACCTATGAAGCTACTTTCAACAACTATTGAGAAATTTTCAAATTTCAAATCCATCTTTCTTTCGGTGCTTCCTCATAAAGCTAAACCCTGCCATGGGTAATTCTCAACCTTATTCTAGGAATTAGGAATATAAAGGCAGACTGTTCCTCAGTCAAGGGTACCTACTCTACCCTGCTAGAACCTCCAAACAAGCTTGTAAGCTCCATTTATAATTTTAAGAAACAGATGTTCAGCCCACTTTCAGAGGATCTGGCACTACATCATAATTTTTCTAGCTATCAAACTGTACCTTTTATAAACTTTAAAATATAGCTTTGGTTTAAATGTATTTTAATGTTTCAGGTGTATTTATTCATATAATCAAATATTTTAAGCATGCATGCTTTGCTAAACATGATGATGAATATCCAAAAAATGAAGATTAGAATCATATTGTTTCAATGACAACAGAAATCCACAAAGCTGGGCATGGCTGCATCATATATAATCTCAGCACGAAGAAGGCTGAAGCAAAAGGATTACCTCAGGTTTGAGACCAGCCGGGGCAATGTAGTAGTTCAAGGCCAGTTTAGACTACATAGTAAGATGTTGTCTCAAATCAACAATGAAACAAATATGTTGTTTCTATATGATTTTTTAAAAATCTTTTATTTATGTGGTATAGTGTCTTGATATGCAGCTTGTACTTGTAGTGATTCTCCTGTCTCTGCCTCCCCAGCTCTGGGATTGCAGGCATATGCCACCACCCATATCTGGTGTCGGTGGCCAGTATAGCATGCCCCAGTTCCAGTTCTGGGCTGAAACAGCATGTGGTACCAGGGATCCAATCTGGGTCCTTGTGCTTGCCAATCAGGTGCTTTGACTGCCACACAATCTTCCCAGGCCACTATATGATCTTTATATCCTTAGAAATTGCTCTTTTTCTTGGAGAGCATGAAAGTAGAGAATATAGTGTTGTTTACCAGGGCCTGTGATTGTTGAGGGTGCTAGAAACGATGCCGTAACAGCATGGGTATTGGTGAAAGGACACAAAATTTCAATGATTTGGAATAAATTCAAAAGAACCATTATACGACATAGTAATGATAATTAATGTATTTTATTCTTGAAAATTTCCAGGAGAATAGATTTTAAGTGTTCTAACAACAAAAAAGTGAGATAATGGTTATGTTAATTAGTTTGACTTATAGAATTTCTCAGCTATACTTTATAAATTAAACATAAAATATAATATTTTATTTTTAGGAACATAAAAATAATATCACCAAACTTGCAAATGAAATCAAAATCAAAGAGGAGGAACATAAGAAAGAAATAAGCAGACTTTATCAAGATATGCAGAGAAAAGTTGAATTAAGTGAAGAAAAGCACAAAGATCTAATAAAGAAAAAAGAGATGGAAATTTCAGAGTTAA